AGTCACATGGCGGTGGTGGTGGGAACTGGGCATGGCAGGAATTTCACAGCTCAGACCATCCTCATCCTTGGGTGAATTTGCTGAAAATCCCAGGTATTCAGGACTTGTGACTTAAAATCTCAGGAATGGGCGACCTCCCCACATCCCTCTATGCTTCCCATAGCCTGGCAGTCAGGCCCACGAACTGCCTCTGGCACCATGTAAGCTCATTAACAGCCATGATCCAGACACTCACAAATAAATCTTCAAAAGAGTGCAACACGAGAGCAACACACTGCAGAGTTGCCTCGGGACCCGGGACCCAAAGTCATCATCCAATTAAAAAATTAAATTAAATTAACCTCAGCTGTATCATTGTACTTAAAAGTTTAAAATTTCTGGAGGGAGATCTCATACTCTACACCACTGTTGTACCAAGACAAGGGCTTAATGGCTCCAGGGTGAAATATAACAATCTTCACACGCTTTCCTGTAAGGAAACTTTGGGATTATTTTTAGCGGACTATTCATAAACAGACAATACAAAATAAATTACTTAGGCCCTGCTTTGGGGGCAGGCTTTGGGGGTTGGGTGGAAGCATTCTAAATATGGTGGTGGGAAAGTGCAATGGTAATGGGATTGGTGTTGGAATTCCACCCGCCTGCCTCCCCTTGATGCTCTGCAGTTTTCATTTGTGGGGACCAGCGATCCCATAACTCTAGCTGGCTCGGTGTGCGTTTCCTGGGAGATTTAGGCAGGAATTGTTGGAGCAGGGCTGGTAAGTGAGTTCTTGTCGTGGTGACTGAAGATGAGCATGGCTGCCTGGGCTTTCAGAATTCTAGGGACTGTTGAGGCACAGCTACCCACCCTGACCTTGCAAACACCACCATAAGTGTGTCGGCTCACTAAGTACCTGCAAGTATTTGTAGATTTGCATCTCTGCAGAGAATATTTGTGAACTGGTGTAGCTGTGCCCTTTGCTTGGTTGTAGGAGGGTGTGGGTGTTTGACCTGTTCATCTCCTGTGGGCTTTCCAGGGCTTGGTAGTTTCTTAAACGTTAGCTGCTTGACGTGCATCTTCTGGGACGGTCAGTTGGGAATTGGTGGAGCAGGGCCAGTGTATGAGTAAAATGTAGGCAACTGTTGGATGTGGGCACTGTGGTGGCACGCAGTTTCAGGTAGACTTGCCACTGAAGAATTCATTTGGGCAGATACTCTTCTTTCAGTTACTGGACATCATAATTAAAGATCTGTGCTACTTTTTGTTTATTTGGGTACCATTCTCTGTATTGCTCAAGGGCTTACTTCTGGCCCTGCTTAGTCATCATTCCTGGCAGTGGTGCCAGAGATTGAGCCTTAGTCAGCCATATGCAAGGCATGAGCCATACCTGCTGTATTGTCTCTGGTGTTGGTTTTTGTTTTTCCTCCCTGTTAAACTTTATTTACACATTCTGATTTACAAACGTTTTCATAATATAGGCATCCAGTGTTCTGACACCAGTCCTAGCACCAGTGTTCTCAAGCCTACCCTCTTAGCACACCACACACAAAATGGTCTACTTTATATTGGAAAATTTGTTGAAAACTTGTTCTTGCAGTAATAATTCCCTTTGTAGAGCAGAGCTATAACTGGGATGCCTGGATAGCACCTGCGTGCTGGCTTTCTGGGGTCACACATGTTTGTTTTAGTGTCACACACTTTGCTGCACTACTCATTTTGGTTGTACAAACTGACACTTCCTATCTACCGCTCAAAGCCTGCCTTCTTAGCTGGCACAATATAAATTTACATCACTTGTTAAAATAAGGAATTATCAGAAAAATAGATCGATATAAAGCTATTCGTGATCATTGTTACATCTCACAGTGGTGTCACTAAAGTCATTTTCTGAGTATTTACTGTGGTGATTGGTGCTGGTTGAGCCTTCAGTGTTATTTCTACTCACTAAGCTTGGTTGTCTTCTACGCAACTTTCCCATCAAATTTGCTGTACTATAAAATTTGGAGGTGTCGTGCAGCCACAGGAGCTGGAAAGATTTGTTAGTGTGGTGGTTTGATGAGGCTCAGTTGTGGATTCGAGCCATTTCTATGGTGTGGGCAGGGCTGATGGTCTTTTTAGCACAGGGATGGAGGGGAATCTGTCCACCTGCAATCTGAGAAGACCCCAGAGTTCTCAGATCTTACTAGTTTTCCTGTGAGATACAGCCCAAGCCTTGGTATTTTTATTGCATATTCCTTTACTCTTAGAAGTACTTCATGAGAATTTAACTGTTAACACAGGCTCCTATAATAAAGGACTATGTGAAACCACATTTTGGATAGTGTTTCATTATGCTGGCAAATTTAACTACATTTCCATGCAGCTTATGTGAACTCCACCCACTAACCTGTTTTCCATTTTATTGAGGACCAATCTGGGTAAAAAGCAACACCAGTAGAAATCTCCTTGTGTGGCCTGAAACTATCAAATCTGAAGATTGTTAATGCATTTCCAGCTATGGAGCATAAGCAAACAGACTGTCCTGCAGATAACCGCACCCTTCCTGTTTGGGATTGGGCTTATTGTGGAACAGATTTTAAAAAGATTCTGACAGTTGTGAATTTTATTTATAAAATGTTAGAGGGTGAGGTTCTTCCTTTAGTAAAAAGCTATTTCCTGTCTGATGTCCAGCTAGTGTGTTTTAAGCAGTCACTTTTTAGGAAGTCCACCCTGAGACAGAGAATTACATTGTCTGGGCAGTTTTTCATTGTTATTGTAGAAAACTGTTTCAAATGAAGACAAAAAAGCACTTAAAATTAAAAAATATTCAGTGTGTTTGTCATCGTATTTCCAAAATGACAGTTTCCAGCTTAAAAGTATGTACATATTTTAATATGATTTTTACTTTTGGTACCCAAATCTGTATCACATTTGTGTTATATAAATATGCTGAGTGAGGAAATACAGTTCAGGTAAAACAGCAGATTTACATTAAAGAATTTGCAGGTTAATTGACAGTGTAACATTATCCTCATCTTGTACATCTGTTATAAAGCCTATAAAAGTTAGGCCACCCACAAAGTTGTCTGCTGTGGCCTGTGGTTGGTGTTAGAATGCTGTTATTATGTGGACTGACTGGTTTGGTAAGGAATTTACCTCCACTGAGGCTATGAAATATCATGGGTCTGACGTTCCCCAATGAAAACTGTATTGGCTTGACTGTTTATTTGTTAGGCCAGCTAATGAACCATATTGCCTTATCTATTACATGTATCATGTATGTGGTGTATGGTTTTTTTAAAATTGATTATTCTGGGTCCTGTAAACCTTAAGATTTGCTCGAGCGGGCCCAGTAACGTCTCCATTGGAGACTTTGTTGTTACTGTGTTTGGCATATTGAATACATCACGGGGAGCTTGCCAGGCTCTGCCGTGCGGGCGAGATACTCTCGGTAGCTTGCCGGGCTCTCCGAGAGGGGCGGAGAAATCGAACTCGGGTCGGCCATGTTGGCCGCTTGTAAGGCAAACGCCCTACCCGCTGTGCTATACCTTAAGATAAACTGGAATAAATAAACTTAATGGCAAAAATGAGTAAATTATAATCACTATTTTTAGAAAAATGTGTTTATTGGTGCTGAGATGTAGAAGAAAACTAATTTTTATATATTTTAGTTTCTGGCAGTCTACCAAAAGTATTCTGCCCGCATGGGAGAGTCTGGCAAACTCCCTGTGGCGTATTCAATATGTGAAAAACCAGTAACAATGATGGGTCTCATTCTCCTGACCCTGAAAGTGCCTTGAATGTGGCACTTTTTAAAATCTCAGGGCTAGGTCGAAGGAGACGTTACTGGGGCCTGCTCGAGGCAATCGATCAACAACAGGATGGCAGTGATACAGTTTCTGTGTTATCCGAAGAATTTAAACTTCTATTTCTTTGGGGCTTGAGGATGGTTTTGCTTTGTCTTTTGTTTTTGATATCTGTGCTGTGCCCAGAAGTGAGTGCTCAGGAGAGCTGTTCCCACCTCTGTGCTTGGGAGTTGCTCCATGAGGCACCCCTGGGCATGGAGTGCTAGGGATGGACTTCTGGGTCAGCCTCATGTAAGGCAGTCATTTTAACCTCTGTACTATCCACCCCCTAAAATGCATTTGTGACTACAATTTAAGGAATTGAAATTCAGTGTGGTGTAAACAGCAGTTTTTAATGAGAAGGGATTTCTAATTGCCATTAATTAAATGGCAATTTCTAATTAGTGTGCACTATATATGTATGTGTGTGCACTATATATGTATGGGTACTTATATATACACTTGTGTGCTTATACACAGATGCATGCACACACAAATATATGTGTATAACATCTTGTTTTGATCTTAACTCTGCCTTGGTAGCTATAGTTAAATATTTCAGGGGCTTCTCAGTGTTCTCTGGATTCAGGGGCCACATGTGTGTGGCCATTCAGGCCAGAGAATTTCAGTGCTTTGTGCTTGTGCAGCGTGTCCACCAGGGCCATACCTGGCAGTCCTTCAGGGCCATCTCCTGTCCCCTTCCCCTCAAAGTTTTCTGTTGGTAGACACTTTCGATCTTGATTGTTGTATGCTAAACAGAAGTTTGAATTTGTCACAAATCTGATTATGATTCAAGTAATATGAAGTTAGGGCTCAGATATATTTTTTTCCTCTCGAGCAGGTAAATGAATAAAGTTATTGTTCTGTCTTATCTATTAATAGCCTGTTCTTGTTATCTCTGGTCTGAAGTTCTTTCAGTAGATTGTCAGATGCTGACAGATGCCATGCCTGATTTCTACTTTCAGTAATGTGCTATATAATTTTTTCCCCTCCTCATTCAAATTATTAGTAAATCTCAAAGGTAGTTGTGTAAAACAGCCTTTGTCAGAAATATTAATAAGTACTCGGGGCTGAGTTTCATCTTTAATATGTATGTCTTCCTTTTAGTCTTCATCATCATAATTCTGCCGACTAAATCATCTCAGCGTTTAATTATTTTCATTGTTAGCTAACCACATTGTATTTCCCCTTTCTAGGTATACCGACAAGATTGTGAAACTTTCGGAATGGTTGTGAAAATGCTAATTGAAAAAGACCCTTCATTAGAAAAGTCTATACAGTTTGCACTGAGACAGAATTTGCATGAAATAGGTGAGCGCTGTGTTGAAGAACTCAAGCATTTTATTGCAGAGTATGACACCTCTAGTCAGGATTTTGGAGAGCCGTTTTAGATTACTTGCTTAGGAAAAAAGTTTTTAGGTTCCTCCACCCCATTCTGTAAATCCCTAATATATGGAATTTTTGTGATGAAGAGATATGCTTTATGATAGTTGACCACATTTCCAATATCAAATAAACATCTAAAATAGCCTGTTTAAAATATTTTAATTAGCTTTTTTAAAATCTACATAGAGATCCTTCTAATACATACTTAACTGCCCTTTCCTGCTAAAATGATGGTTCAGTTAGTTTTTTAAGCTTTGAAAAAGGAGTTCAGGAGAATAGTTTTCTGTCTCTACTCATGTTCTGCAGTCTTCCTTGGTATAAGATCATTTATTTAGTCACCTAAATTTATAGGTAAGAGATCATTCCATTTAAACATTTATAGTCTTTCTGCATTTCATAGTCAATCATACTTTGTAAAATGTTAGAATTCTGAATTATGATTTTTTTTTTTACTTTTGTTCACTTATCTTAGGTTTTGTGTCTTTTAAAATCTTAAGTATACTCTCCAAATAGACTGGATACTTTGTTAGATAATATTTGGGTTGAGAATGATTCTCACTGTTAGAAAATAGAGCACCTAGGTCTCTAGAAGACACCTTATGTAAAGTTACTATTTTCCATCAACCCAGTTGTCTTCTATTAAAATAATCCTAAAACTTTTGACTCATGCATGAATCTTAAGTAACATCATATACATTACTAAGAGAACGAGCACTCTGAGATGAAAGATGAAGTCTTTTATAGTTGAGATACCTTTTTCAAAAAATGTAATTGAAGTGAAAAATTAGAGATGAGGGAATAAGGGAATTTAATTTTTCCATAGCTTGTATCTCTAAACTCAAGAAAGATGATTGAAAATTCTTCAGTGATTAAACTATTTACAGATTATGCCTTTGTTAATCTCTAGTAGTATAGCATCTACTATAGTCCTTGAAAAGGTTTCTTGAAAGAAATAAGTAAAGCAGGGAGTAAGCGGAGCACAACTACCTTAATAAGCAGTCTCTCTAAACATCCCTCATGGGAAGTCATCTACAGCTGGGATGATTAGTATATTCCACTCCCACTCACTTCCTGATCACTTCTAACTTCCCAGTGCATTTGTCCAAAATAAATAATTTTGTGGCATTAGTAAACCTTCAAAATCATGTTATGCCTACCCAATTTCATTACCCTCCCCATCTTTCCATTTTTTTTTCCACTTGAATCATGGTGTTACTTTGAGTAACCTCTATTGATAGTACTTAAAGAGCTACACCAGAGTAGATAAATTATATCAACAGTGGAAATTCTTTTTTGAGACCATCTTGATTTTTTTTCACTTATTAGATCTTATATATAAGCCAAAACTAAACTCCACCTGTCATCTCTGATTTTCCTCTATTAAAATTAATTTTGTTACCCTCTTTAGGGAAAAAACAAGTACTGATTATGTTTCTTCCATGCTCATGTATATTTTTTCTTTATCTTAAATATTCCACTTCCAGGATTTAGTACCTTTAGTCCAGTTGTCACAAGTTTGGGGGGAAAAAAAATAATGCACTACCATTCAGGCAAAAGAACTGATTGGTTGAAATTCATTTTACTAAAGTTTTACTCACTAATGGATTTAAATATTTAACAGATAACTTTTTCATCTTCCTTTCCCACAAATTATATTCAATATTTAACATTGTTTATAGCTTGTCGTCACCATTATTCTGTAGAGTTGTCAGTGTTAAATTGTTTTGTAATTTTTTTAAAAAAATACCTTCAGAGTCTAATTTGAGAATCAACTCAGATGTGTTATCAGAGTTTGTATTTAACAACATGTTCTTGATTAAAGAAGTTTGTTTGTAAATTATCTGTTCTTTTTGAGTATGCCCAAATTGATATGATAAGCTTTTCATTGTCTTTCCATAAAGCCTTGATGATCAACAGGGGAAACAGTTATTGTAATGATATTTGTGAATTTTGAAAGTACAAAATAAAGCAACCAGTTTTAAAAGACTGTTTTTTCTTATTAACAGGCCTAGAATCTTTTGATGAATTTTTTTTACTTTTATTATTATTATTGTTTTTTTACTGTTTGCGAATTACTCCTTAGCATTCTGGTCCACTAAATAGTATAGAAGTTTAAGACTTCAGAAACTTTGGTTTTATCAGGAGTATTGATAGCTAAGAAGCAGTTAAATGAGATAAGATTGAGCCCAGAGTAGTGCTCAGTAATTGTAAGTATGAATTTGAGTTTCAGAGAATCATAGATTAAAAATTTAATGGCTGTAGTCACTCTGAGGGAAGGAACTGTGTTATCTTTGTGCCCATGACTCCTAGCACAATTCAGAATAGTGTAGGTATTCCTATTTGTTGATACGTCACAAAGGAAGGAACATTTGACCCCTAGTCTTGGAGGAATAGAAAGAACACATCAAGAACTGCAAGTTCAGGAGGAGGGATTGGTGCAGGAAGGCTTCAGCTGACTGAAGAGGACTGTAAGTGACAAATGTAAGAGAGTTAAGGTGAGCAGTCTATGAAGGATTTTGAATGTAGTTTGCCCTTTCCTACTGAAGAATGACATTGAAAGTATTTGTATTTATTTGTGTTAAATATGTTGATTTCTCACAGCACTTTGGTGGTTCCCATTCCTGAACCAGCTCATTACTGACTTTTCTATATGGTGATTTCATTTCATTTCCGAGTTCTTTGTAATATCTTGGCACTAGCCTTGGAGATGGTGGTCTGGTCATCCTGATAATAGGGGTTACAGGCAGGGCAGTCTGATATCCAGGTAGCTTTACAATTGTCCCTCTGCCTAGGCTGACACTTGGAGCTACTAAGTAGTGAAAGGCTATCACTGTTTGCCAGACCAAGGTTTTTGGGTTATGCATGTACACATCTCTCTTGAGAACATAATTGTTATCCAATTCAGTGATATTTTTTGAATAGGGAAGTGGTAGTCAATACCTTAAATTACCTAATAGTTAAGGTATTGAGGAGAAACCAGTCACCATTTTTAATGTTAATGAATTTGAAATGGAGTTATGACAGTCTAATTGGGACTGTAGTCTCAGTGTCGACTTTGTAAGTAAGTGTCATCAAATGATCACGTTCTCTTGTAGAACCTGACTGGAAGTCATGCTTTCCAGGTCAGTACAGTGAATGGAATTTCTCTCATGCTTTCTTTCTTCCCTTCTCAACTCAGTCTGATGTGTTGCAGAGCCACAATACAGAAGGAGAGCACTAAAAAAGCCCTCCACGGCCACATGGGTTAAACTTCTGGATGAAAGAGGAACACACAGGGTCGAAGCAATAATGCAGTGAGAGGGCAATTGCCTTGCACAGACAGCCAACCGGGTTCAATCCCTGGCATCCCATATGGTCATCCAGCACTTCCAGGAGTAACTCCTGAATATTATTGAGGATAATTTTCAAACATGGCCAGTCTCACATTGCCATAGTAGTAATTGATCTTGGGATAAAGGGGATTGATTACATAAAAGATTTTTCCATTCTATTGTGTTCATGTTGTATTTCATCATTGGATGAAAATACTGAGGTGTCATGCACAACTGTATGGCAGTAGTGATAACCTTATACTTCAGCATGTTTATTTTTTGAACTCTGCTGTCATAGATTAATGGTCTTTTAATGCTAGACCATTAGTGCTAAAATTGTGTAAGGTTTTAAGGGTTTTTTCCCTCATTGTGAAAAGAATTTATTTAAATAAAACATTGAAGAACATAAGAGACATAATAAACTACAACAAATCTAATGTCTGCTGCAAATGGATAACTGGAAGGGAGGGAAGATGAAAAAAAGGACAGAGAAATGGGAAAAAAGATGAAAGGAGGTCTGAGGAGATGGGAGAAATGAACAGCAGCAGCTTACCACATTGAAGTATCTGTTTTGTGACCAAGCTCTTTTTTTCTTCTTGCCTAGAAGCCTGAATGTTGGTTAGTATGATATTCCACCACCAGAAGGTCATTAGGTTACAAGAGGTCTACAGGATTTATTCACTGTGTGAGAATCTTACTTTGTTTTTTGTTTGTTTATTTTTGGTCAGCCATCCAGCAATGCTTCAGAGTAACTCCTGGGTCTGCAGGAATAGGGGTTATTCCTATTCCTCCACTCAGGGGCTCATATGGGATACTGGGGATAGAATTTGGGTTGTTCATGCGAAGCAAATGCCCTGTCAAAGCAAGACTCTCCGGTTCTGAGAATTCTTTGCAACATCAGAGCAACCTGATCCAGAAGGAAAGTAGAGCTCTGCCAGCATCTTCTCATCTGGTGGGGGAAATTTCACCTCTGGCCCATGACCTGCTTCTATCTCAACACTGTGCCATGTTGTGGAGAAATTAAAGCACGTTTCACATTTAATATACTAAATAAGGAATATTGAGAAACATCATGATTTTCATAGCCTGACAAGATTGAGTATTTTTGTGTGTTTTTATTTCTATATGTTTTCACTTACAATCCGATGAGGGATTTCCCCCCACAACCTCGTCTTAAGGGCAGAACTTAGAACTTTGCCTAAGATCAGATAGTTGGACCCAGCAGAGCCAGAATTTTATCCAAAGTATTAAGTTAGTGGCCATTCAAAACTAGGTCCAATTTATCACTCCTGAAAATTGCAACAGTTTCAAAACTAAGAATGCTGTCAGAAACAGCTGAGATATAAAAAAATACTTTCTGGTAATTAACATCTTAATAACAGACTACATTTGTGTTCCACCACATTCAGCTAACAGTTTCAATGTGTTAATGAGGGAGTAGAATATCGTGCCTTCCATAAAGTCCATGCAATTCCATTTACTAAAGATAAAGTGAATTTAAGCACCAACTCCCTGTCTTGCTCTCATGGAGGAATCAGGCTTTCATGACTCTTTGCTAGAAGAATAAGTTGGTAAATGAGAGACATCCCCTTATGTTAAGTGGCCAGGTAAGAATCCAGATCAGTTCTTTTGATTGAACCTAAAAATTCAGTATTTTCAAAATCCAGAGAGTGGAAAGTAACTTTTGAGATGGTCTAGTACTCTTGTTTTACAATGGGGTTCAGGGCATTTTAACATGCTTGAGTTAATGAGGTGAGTGGGTTTTCTAACCCTATCTCATATCCCTCCTATCCTAGAGTACATTTCTCCACCCTGATAAACTCTGTGATAGATTTTAGACAAATTACTTTTAAAGTGAGTGTAACAACACTTTGCTTACATCCAGCAGTAAAGATGTGAAATTTCTTTTGCAAAAAGAAAAGCTGAAGCTAAAACTGACCAGCCAGCTGTCCAAAAAGAATGGGCTTAATTCTGTGACTAAATCCATATGTATTTAATATCTTACTTTTTCTTCCACACTTCCCAAACTATATAATAAACTATATAATAAAGAAAACTATGTAATAAAATAATAAATTTTATTCCTGCAATATAGATTATGGTTCTATGATTTGAGAATTGCAAAATTCAGTTGCCCCTACTCATTTCTCTTTGGTCTGTTTGTCAAGGTAGCCTTCCTGTACCGTATGTATTAGAAGAAAACACAATATAGGAACAGGCCTTCTGTTTCATAACAATGGCTAGAGAATCTATACTAATCAGTAAATATTCTCATTTTTTAAAAAATACTGTTAACATTGAACTTTTTTTTGTGCATCAGAAAAAGTCACATTGATAAGACAAACCCCATAAACACAACAAACTTCTACAGAAAGATGGCACAAAACCCCATGACAATAATCTCTCTCAATGTCAATGGTCTAAATGCACCAAGTAAGATAGACAGAGTAGCAAAATAGATTTAAAAACTAAGTCCAACATTCTGCTGCCTACAAGAAACATATCTGAATTGTTGGAGCAAACACTCAAAGTCAAACAAGTTCAAAAATGCTGAGGTGGCCATACTAGTATACAACAATGTAGATTTTAGGCTAAAAAAGATTAGAAGGGACAGCAAAGGTCATTTCTTAATAATCTAAGAATATGTTCATCAGGAAGAAATTACACTCCTAAACATATATGAACCCAATGAGGAGCCAGTAAAATATTTAAAACAACTGCTCTTAGATTTCAAGGAGAACATTGATAGAAACGCAATAGTAGTTGGAGACTTCAATACTGCCTTCTCACTTCTTGGTCAATGAGACTAAAATTCAGCAAGGAAGTGCTGACCCTGAAGGAAGAAATGGAAGAGAGAGGGCTAGTAAAAGCCAGTTTCACGTTCTTCTCTAATGCACATGGAACATTTTCCAAGATAGCCACATGCTGGGGCACAAAACATACCTCAGTAAAATCAAGAAAATAGACATATCAACTGTCTTTTCATGCACTGAAAATGAAGTTAATCTCACACAGAAACAAAGAATCAAACAGTGCAAATTAAACAGCTCATTGCTGAACAGTCAGTGAGTAAGAGCGGAAATCAAGGAAATCAAGATTGCTAGAAACAAATGAGAATGAGGACAGAAGCTGCCGAACTTGTGGGACACAGCTAAAGCAATATTAAAAGGAAAGTTTATAGCTCTGCAAGCGTTTATCAGGAAGGGAAAAAGGGCCTACATTTCACATCTTAGATAAAGACCCAACAAAAAGCCCTAACCATGCAGGAGGAAACAAAATAATAAAACCTAACAGCAGAAATCAGTTAGCTGGCTCTTAAAAAAAAAGATTGCTAAATCACTTAGTAGGACTTACAAAGAGAGAGAACCCTAATAAACTGAATTTGAAATGAAAAGGGGGACAGCATAACAAAAGAACCACAGGAATTTAAAAGACTATCAGAGATTACTTTGAGAAGGTGAATGCCATGAAACAACCTAGAAGAAATGGATAGATTCCTGGATTCCTATAACCTAACATTGCTGAACCAAGAAGATTTGGAATACCTGAATAGACCTATCACTATCAAGAAAATTGAAATGGTTATCAAAAGTCTTCTAAAAAGAAAGGTCCAGGTCTAGATGGATTCACTACTGAGTTCTTCCAGACCTTTGAAGAGGACCTACTGCTA